CCCCTTTCCTCCCTTTGCGCCTCTCGGCGGGTCCGCTCTCTGTTTCTCTTGTGTTTTTCGTGTTTTCTCCGGTGTCTTTTCTTCCCGCTCGCCTCTTTCTGCTCTTTTGGTGTGTTCTTGCCGTGGGTGTGGCCGGTGCCCCTTGTTCGGGCTTTGTGCCGTGTTCCGTGCCGGTTGTCGGTCTCCCGCGGTCCCCCTGCTCTCCCCCTCTCTTTTGCTTCCCTCTCTGCTGCTTTCTTGGCTTCTCCCTGTGCTTTTGCTCTGCCTGTGCGTGTTGCTGCCTTGTCTTGTGCACTGCCTCTCTCGGGCTTGTTCTTCGGGTTCCTGTTGTCCCTTGCTTGCTCTTCCTTTGCTTCCGTCCTTTTGTTTGTCTTTGGTGCGCTTTGGCCTGTTTTGGCCTTGCCTTTGCGCTTGGCGTTGCCCTCCCCGCCGGGGCTTCTTTTGGTCCCGGCCTGTCCCCCGGGCGGCCGGCGGGTCGGGGCTCCCCGCCGCCCCCCCCGCGGGGTCCGGTGGTGTGGGCCGTTGGTTCCCGCGGCGGCCCCCCGGGTGGGGGTCCCCCCGTGGCCCCCCCCGCGGGGTCCCTGTTGGTTTGTGCGGGCTTTGTTCCCCGTGCTTCTTTTGCCTCGGTCTTTGGTCTTTTGCCTTCCCGCTGTTCTTTTGTGGCCCTCTTTGCGTGTCTTCTTGCTGTTTCGTCTGTCTCGCCCTCTCTGGTCGGCTTCCCTGTCGGTTTTGGTGTCTTGCCTCGTGCTCCGTGTTCCCCCTTGTGCTTCGTTGCCCCCGTGCTGCGTCTTGTGTGTTCTTCGCCCTCTGTTTGGTTTCCCCCGTTTGCTCCGCCTGCTCGTTCGGTGTTTCCTGCTCGCGTGTGTGTTGTTTGTCCTTTCCTCTTGTGGCTGCTGCCTTGTGTTCCTCCTCGTTGTTGTCGGCTTGTGCTCCTTTCCTTGCTTGCGTCTGGTTTCCTCTCTTTCGTTGTGCTCCGTTGCTTGCTTCCTCTTGTGGTGTGGTGTGTGTGGCTGTCCCTGGCTTGCCCGCTTCCTGGTCTGGGCCCTTCGTCCCCCCGGTCCGGCCGTGGTCCTCGTGGTGGCCCTGCCGCGCTTCTGGCGTTTGTGCCCTGCGTGCTGGGTTCCCGTCTTTCTTGGGTCGGCCTGTGTTGCCGTGTGTGTGCTCGGTCCCTCGTGTCCTCTGCCTCGGTGGTCTTGTTGGTGGTGTTGGTGGGGGCCGCCGGTCCCCGGCGGGCCCCGGTTGGCCTTGGCTGTCCCGGGGTCCTGGCGGTCCTGGTTGGCCCTCGCCCTCCGGTTGGGGGTCGCCCTCCGGTTGGCCCCGGGCCTCCGGCCGGCCTCTCCCTTCGTGCTGGGTGCTGTCCCGCCGGCTTGTGTCGCCGTTGTTGTGTCTTTCTCTCTTTGTGCCGTGTGTCTGTCCCCCGGCCTGTGTTGCCCTGGTTGTGTCCTTCTTCTCTTGTGTTCTGCCTGTCGGGTGTTCCTCTCCTGTGTGCTGGTCGCTTCTCCTTGCGCCGTTCTTGTGCGTCGTTGTCTTGCTTCTTGTCGTCTTGGGCTGTGTTCCCTTCTCTTCTTGTGCGTGCCTCGCGTACTTGTGTTTGGTCTCTCTGCTTGGCTTCTTGCCTTGGCTCTTCTCCTCTCTACCAGTTTCTGGCCCCATGCTTTTGTCTCCCTCTCCTGCTATCTCCCTCTGCTCTTTCCGCTTTGTCTTCGGTGGTTCGCCCGGCCTCCTTCGCCTGCCCGGACGAGTACACAAGCGTCGTCACTTCTTTCTGTGTTTCTTTCGGGCTGCGTCGCCCGCGCCGCGACGTGCTCGCCCCTTTCGCTTCGCGTCCCTTTGGTTTTGGCGCCCGGTATGTGGGCCCTGTGTGCCCCTGTCCGCCCATTCAGTCCTTCCCTGTCTCTGGGACTGCCTTTCGCTTGTGGCTTCTGCCGGCTGTTTCGCCCACTGTCGTTCCCTTTGCGTGGGCGTGGCCTCGCCACACTTATCTTTCCCTTCTCTCCGCCCATGTTTCCTTCTTCCGTCTGTCTCTGTTCTGCCTCCTTCTCTCGGCCTGTCTCCGGCTTCCTTTCGCCTGGCCCTTCGGGGGTGTTCCCGGGCTTTTCCGGGTCCGTCCTTCCTCCTTCGTTTTTGGTTTCGCGGCGCGTCCCCCCCCCCGGGGTGTTCCCTCTCGCCGCCCCCCCCCCCTTCCCCGCGGCGTTCGTCGCCGCCGCCATGGTGTGTGGCTCCCTTACTTTCCCCTGCCCGTCCCGTCTTTTGGCCTCCGGATGTCGGCCCTGGGTGGGCTCCCCGTGTCGTGTGGCCTGGGGTCGCTGTCGCTTTGGTGCGAGTGCGTGTTTGGCCGACGTTTGGGTCTCCACATTGGTTTTCGGCTGCCCCTGCGGCTCGCTGGCCGAACCGCGATGTGGCCCCCCTGGCCTGGCGCTTGGCGCCGGCCCCTCTCTCGTCTCTCCTGCGTGCGTTGCCTGGCTTTCGTGGCTGCGCCCCCTCCTTCCCCTGCTGTTGGTTTTTCAGTCGGGTGATTGTTGCGCGCGGCTGCGGCTCCTTGCGCCGGCTCTTCCTTTTGCTTGCCGCCCTTCTCTTGCCCTTGGTGCGGGTGCACTGGTGCGTTCGGCTCGGGCTCTCTTTTCGCTCACTGTTCCATCTTGTTCTTCCTTGTTCCGCCACCGCCTTCTTGGCTGCCCCGCTCCGAATTTAACGTGCAATTCCTTTCGTTTCCATTTGCTTGGGTGCGGCTTTCCCCCTGCTCCCCCCCAACCTCTCGTCGGTTCTTCCGTGCCCTTTCGCCCTCGCCCCTCCTCTGGCGGTGTGCTGTCTTGCCCCCTCCGCTCTGGTCGCTGTCGTTGCGGCGGCAGGTTTGGGCTGCCCCTCCTCACCCTGCTTCGCGGGTTTGCTTTTCGCGGTGTGGGCTCGGTCCCCTCCTTTCTTTTCCCTGCTCCCCCTTCGCTCCTCCCGGGTCGGGTCGCCTCCGGCCGGTGCTCCCCTTGCCCCCTCCCTGGTGTTTTCGGCCTCCGGGCGGGCCGGTTCCCCATTGCCTTTGATTTCCTACTCCCCTCGGCCCCGGGTTTGCCCTCTCCACGGCTCCCCCCGTCCTTCGGCTCTTAAACCGATGTTGTTTTGTGGTCCCCCGCTGTCCGTTTCCCCTCCTGCCTCTGCCCTTTCCTGTTCCGCCGGTTCCGCCCTTTTGCGCTGTTTCGACGTCGGAGGTGGCTAGGGGTGCCGCGTGCTTCCTTTCCTCGTCGCCCCCGCGGTCCTCCTTCTCCCCCGTGTCTTGGGTCTGCGCTTCGCCTCCCTTCCACGTTCCATCGCTCTGCCGCCCCCGGTGGGCGTCCGTCCTCGCGTTTGGCCCGCGCCTTTTCGCGCGGTACTCTCGCATTTGGGACCTCGGCGCTTTGGCGGTGCTTTTCCCCCTGTCCCGCCCGTTTGGCCGGGCTCCCCGTGCGGGCTCGGCCTTCTTTCCCGCCCCCTTGGGGTCCGTCTACTCCTTTGCTTGGTGCGCTCGCTCTCCCCGCCCGGCTTCCGGCCTGTCCCCCCCTTCCGGGCGCGCCTTGGCGGGTTCGCTGGGTGCTTTCCTCACCGCTCCGTGTCGGTTCGCGCCAGAGGTTGAGTCTCCCCTTCGGGGGGTGTCGGCTCCCCCAGGCTTCTTCGCAATTGCCCGCTTCCTCCCGTGGTGTTTTTTCCCGGTCCTGTTTTTTACTGGCGCGGCTCCGGCGCCCTTCCGCTAGCCCTCCGAGCGCCGTTCTGAGCGCTAGTGTCGGCCGGGGCTTTCCCGGCGCTGCTGCGGCGTCTGTGGCTCGCTTTTGGCTGGGCCCGGGCCGGCGGGCTAGTGTTTGGGGCGCCGCCGTCCGGTCGCGTTGGCCCGCGGGCGCTGCGGCGACAGGGTTGGCGTTCCGGTGTCAGCGCGGTGTCCAGTGGGCGCGTGCCGGGTGGTCCGGCGGGGCCTGCCCCTGGCGGCGTGCGCCAGAGAGAGTACGTCGCCGGTCGTGGTGGGTCGCCTGTTGCGTGGGGACGGCAGCGTGGCGCGCGTTGGGTGGTCGCTTGCTGGTGGGCGGCGGGCCGGTTTGCGGCCGCTGCGAGGTGGTGCCGGCCGCTTTTGTTGGCGGGGCGGCGCGCGCGCGCCGCGCGCCCCTGTCGTGGTTTAGGCGCGCACGCCGCCGGGTTTTTGCTTTTGGGGGTTTTTCTGGGTTTTAGGCTTTGCCCTGGTGTCCCCAGGGTGTGATTCACCTTGCGGTTTTCCGCCGCCCTCCTCGCTTCGTCGTTCGGCCGCTTGGTTTTTATCCGTGGGACGGTCTCGGGGGTTCCCTCCCCCTTGGTCGCCTTCGTCTTCTTTGTTGGCGCCTCTTTGCTGCTTTTCCCCTCGCTTTTCTTTTGGCCCCCCCGGGCCCGGGGGTTTGCTCGGTTTCCTTGTTGCCCTTTTGTCTCCCTTGGGTGTTGCTTGGGCCTCCTGGTCTATGGGGGCTGTTTCGTCCTTCTTTTATGCTACTATTATTTGCCGTTAGCTCCCCCCCCGTGTTTGGTTCCGCCTCCGCGGGTGGTTACAGGGGGTTTTCCGCTCCCCTCGCCGCCTTCTTTTCCCGACTCGTTCGCTTTTGCAGCGCTTGCTTTGCGGTCCATGCGTCTCCTGGGGCCCCTTTTCTAACGTTCCGTCGCCGTGCCCTCAGTCTTCCCCGCTCGGCCTGCGTTGCGGGCTCCTCGCCGCCTCTTTTCCGGCGGTCTTGTCCTTCCCTTGCTTTTCGCGACCCGCCCCCGCGTGTTGGCACGCTCTGCCTGTACGGCTTGGCGGACGTTGCGGGGGTCGAAAGTGCCTATGGCCGGCCATTGTGTCTTCTAACCTCCGCAGTTGCCGGCATTCGCCCGGCAGGTTCCCGCTGCCGTGGCTCCTTGTGCTCTCTGGTCCTTGTTGCACCTGCCGGCACAGGCCGGTCTCGGCCTCTCGTTCGTTGTTTCTTCCTGCGGCGCGCTTGGCTCTCCGGAGTTCTGGCGCTTGCGTTAGTGTCGTTTCTCGTTCATTTTCCACGGGTGTGTGCCGGCCACCTCCCGGTTGTTTCCTTTTCTTAGGCATCTGTTCTCGCCTCCCCGTTGGCCATCGGGTTGGGCTTCGGGCTCGGAGGTTGGCGGCCCTCTCCGCTTGACCCCTTGCGAGGTATCCGGAAGTCCGCTGGCCCAGATTAGCTTTTTGGGCTCGAAGTTGAGGCCCGACACAAAGTTTCTATCTGGCAGCGTTCTATGTAGGGACGAATTCGGGTGGACGAAACGGGCACAGTTCGAGGGAACCGTTTTGTGTATTCGCATGACGTTGGCCACCCTGTTTTGCATGTGGACGGAATTCTTCATACATGGCTGCTCTTACGTGTGCAGAGGTAGAATGCGTTCTCGTAGTCATGTCATTTTTTTTTTTTTTTTTATTTTTTTTATTTTTAAGGACTTTCCCAGTTGAATCCTGTATCTTGTGCTGTAAGTGGGCCCTCGGTGGATGCCAGCCAAAGGTCGGCCTCGTGTCCGAAGTAGAATGAGGCTTATTTGCATACGCAGGCGTGGCTTCTGGGAGCATGTTTCACTAACGCCAGATTTTTTCGAAGGTTCGAAATCCATTCTTGTGGATTGGGGGTCCTCTTGTCCGAAGAGGAAGATGGGTGAAAGA